AATTTATTTTATTTATTATAAAGCCAGTGACTGCAGCTACAACATTTGGTAAACTTGACAATAATAAAAGGATTTTTTTTTTTTTTTACTTCATTCCAGTTTTAGTCATCTATATGTGTCAAAGATTGAAAACATTCCATTAAATTTTCATGTTTCCTCCAAATTCATAAATAGGTTAAAAATCAAAGTGAAACTGAGGAACCTAAAGGAAAAAAAAATTATTTATATGCACTTCAGGATTTATTGACGCTTATTAATCGATTAAACAAGCATGATATTGGTAAGATATTAACAGGTGTGTGCAGCCCAAGTTGAAGATTTACTATTCAGTCATGGCTCTCCTCAGATAATTCTTGGTCTCCATGGTCTTTACCATTGTCATCATCATCATCATCATCATCATCATCATCATCATCATCATCAGTCGGGGGCCTGGTACGCCTAAAAAAGCCCAGCTACACACATAGAGATGGAGGTTTATTCAGTTAGAGTAGAGATCAGGGCTGCTCAAAGTCGGTTCTGGAGATCCGCTGTCCTACAGGTTTTGAGCGTTTCTCAGCTACAGCACAGCTGATTCTGTAGTTCAGCAAATGCTGCTAACAAGCAATCAATGGAAAATGAGTTGTGTTAAAGCAGGGAAACCTTGAAAACCTGCAGGACAGTGGCCCACAACACCAACTATGGTCAGGCCTGGTATCGACGAAGCATTACTGAGAGCAAAGTCTTGATTGATACCTTCCAGAAGACGAAGCAGAGCAGGCAGAGGAGGAGGAGTCCAGAAAACACTGACAGGATGATGTAACCAATAGGAATAGGCTTCTCTCCATCAAGAGAACGCCACACCAAGCTGATCTGAGCCTAAACACACATGCAAACAAACAACAAACAGTTCTGGGTTCGGTTTATTTGTTATTTGTTGATTTGATGATATCTATGTCTCATTGTGTTTGTGTAGACGGTGATAGGGGTGGGAATCGGGGTACCTGTGCATGTCCACTGTTGAAAAGCACAGGTTGGACCTTTGATGGTGTGCTGATGACATCATAATACGCAGACGAAACAAGGTCATAGTTCAGGTGGGGAGTCTGTTCAAGAAAACACAGTGACGGCACCCTCAGTTGAGTATAAGTTTCAGAGACAGGTTTGGATGATTATTCTGACCCAAACACTGACTCAAATTAACTTTGTTGCTTTTCATAATTTTAAAGCATCTCAATCCACTT